GATATACGGAAAAACTGATATATCGCCGCTATCTAAATCTATTCATTCACTGACCAGAAGCTTCACTGTAAGCTGAAGAGAAGAACTGCTTCGTTTTGATTTATTCCAGTTATATGAGGAGGACAGAGTTTGATACTTGGACAGTTTAAAAAAATGTTTAGAGTCCTCCACCACATATAATAACTGTGAATATGTAGAAGAAGCAAGCGTCAGCTAAAGATGTGAGCAGCAGTGACTCACCTGTCTGATCCTTTGATTGCGGTGTTGGATTTGACACGAAATGGTTTGGCAAACATATTTTCATAAAACGTTAGTCAGAAGAATTCAGCATGACCACTTCTGATGGTACGCCTTTTCAGTACATCAGCACAGAGCATCTAAAACGACTCATCTACAACACATAAACTGATTCTACAATGCTTTTCAGTAGTCAGCTGCTCCTCGTTTGGTGGGATGGTCCGACACATATTTATGACCGATGTGAAACTGCACAGGCAACTTTTGTTCCGCATGATAAACTAAGCACGTAGGTGTCAGTAATATTTTTTCTGCGGAGTCCAAAGTGTGTGTATATCGAATCACTATGCATCTCCGTTACCATCGACAGAATAGGCAGTAATTGTAAAACTTCTTGTAGGCTAAACCAAGCAACTGTTTAATGTTGACTCACATGAACAGTGCTCCATGTAAAACAATGACTTGTTAAAAGTGTCGACAATTAAGCATTTCAACTACTGAGAAAAATTTATTGTCGTTGCAAAGAAAGACAGTTTTATTCTGCCTTTGCTGTGTAATAATAATAATAATAATAATAATAATAATAATAATAATAATAATAATAATAATAATAATACTTCTGAAACAAACAATGAAACTAATAAAAAAAACTATACATTTCCTTTAAAAAGTAAATTTTAGCTCTGAAAATATTTACTCGGGCATTTTACTCTCCACTGATTAAAATAGGTACCTTTTCTGGAAACCTTTGATAGGTAGAGGGGCATGCTGGGAGATATAGGACTTGAACTTCCTGACCTTGTCTCTTATAGTTTTATTCAAAATGCTCATGAAGCTGTTGACGTCAGCTATGCAATAATCAGTTTTTAGGCAAGTGAGGAAGGAGCGAAGAGAACTGAAGTGTTTTTGTAAAGGATTGAATCCACGTATGGACTCCTACTGTGTACAATACATCCAGAAAGTGCTCCATTGGTAAGGATTGTTGAAAGAGGAATTCCATAAGTGAGTTGGATGCTATACAGTGATTCATCCAGTCAGTCTGTGAGGACCTGTAGTTAATGGCTTATCTTCTTTGCTCCATGCTTATAGACAGAGAGAATGTGAGACGGTGTGCTTGGTCCGGTAAAATGTGGCAGTAAGCGTCTAAAACAGTGTCTGACCCAGGGCTTATCACAGAGTTGTTACACTCGTAGCACCAACTGTCCATGTGCCCCACAACGCAGATTCCAAAGAAGTAGAGTGGGAACGACTACTCGGTTTTCAGGTCTCCAGCTGGCTGTGTCTCTGTCTGCAGTGGAGTATAATGTCAAGTTCAGACAAATGCAAAGATGTTGATATGGCAACATGACACGTGGGCCTCTCTTATGGTTTCCAGATGTATGTAGGGTGCAGAAAAATGTATGTATGAAACCCAGACACATGTGAATGGCTTAAATTGTTGCCGCCCAGCTTCATTTACATCCCAATGACCATAATCTCTATGAACAATTTCAATCTGGTTTCCGCCCCAATCATAACACAGAAACTGCTCTGTTAAGGATTACCAATGACCTTCTGATGGCAGCTGATTCTGGTCTCCTATCCATCCTCATCCTTCTTGATCTTAGTGCGGCGTTTGATACCATTTCTCACAATATTCTCCTGAACCGGTTAGCTTCCATTGGTATTAATCATACCCCACTTACCTGGTTTACCTCCTATCTCTCAGACCGCACTCAGTTTATCCAATTTAAATCCCATTCTTCAACTCTATCCTGTTTCTGCTGGTGTGCCCCAGGGTTCAGTATTAGGGCCTCTTTTATTCATTACTTACATGCTCACTCTTGGTCATATATTCTGAAAATATAATATCAATTTTCACTGTTATGCCGATGACACCCAGCTCTGCATTTCTTCTAAACCCAATTCATCCCTCCCACCAACCTCCCTCTCAAACTGTCTTATTGAGATTAGATCCTGGTTCTCCTCCAATTTTCTCAAACTTAACAGTAATAAAGCTGAAGTTTTACTTGTTGGTACACCATCTATTATAACCAAATCCCACAGTTTTTCCATTAACATTGAAAATTCTCCCACCCTTCCCTCCCCTCAGGTTAAGAGT